AGGGGGAGGGGGGGAGAAAGCAAGGAGAATAAGACCGGATTTTAGAAGGAGGTCTAAGTCTGATCTTATAGTCATGGGGGAAGACAAAAGGAAATAAACGGAGGAAGAAGGAATGGAAAAGAAGAAAGAAGGTGATATTTTCCAGGAGTATGTAAAATCCATTTTGGTATTCGATGCTTGAAAGGGTAAGCCACTCAGGATATATGAGTACTCTGGATATATGAGTGGCGACGGTCAGTAAGTTGTGCATGTGAAAATCGTCCAAAGCGAGGTTGTATCTGCTCAAATCGATAGGTATCTGCATACTGAAATCAAGGAACCCACAATTTTATGTAGGATTTAATTGATACTCAATCTCATACAGAACAATCGATGTGTCGCTAAAATCAACATACTATATGCTATGCTATGCTATTCTATGTATCATTATATCCTACTACGATTTGATAATTTCTTCTCCCCCAACTCCTCTATCTCTTTCTTCTTATGATAATGCGGTGCTAGCTCATGCAACCAGTTCGCTTTAATGGGAATGCAACTACGCATGTACTCCTTTGTGGTTTGTACCAGTTCATGATACACCACCAATTTAATAGGGGGGTCATTTGCCATCAATACTGACGAGGGGTGTATATATACGGTGGTATTTCTCTTGACTGTTCGGTAACTTTCACCGTCTCGCTGCAATCGCGCTGCGTTGGCGAAAAACCCTGCAGTGATCGCTTTTTGTATAGGCTCTATATCCGACGCCCCGCAACTGGCGATTGTTACCTCCACGCGCTCACAAAGCTTCGCAAGTTGGTCCCGGACATCCCTAGCTCGGGTAAGAGAACGCTGTTGAAGGAAGTTCTCCTTTGCCCAGACAATACTGAAATCACTATCCACCCATTGGTTCCAAATGTTCAAGTAGGTCAGGTGATCGCCTCCTTCCTTGATTGTGAAGCGTGCTCGTGCACTATCTGCGTGCACTCTCTGTTCTCCCTTTGGCCGGAAAAATAGTGCTGAGCTTTCACCGAGCATTGCCATTATGCTCAACACTTCGTCAGAGCAGGCTAGTTGGTCTGAGGCAATGATTGACTTCGCAACCTGAGGATCAGTCGGGAACTCAGCCATTTGTCTTCCAATCTTGGTCAACTCCCCTCGATTGTTTAATGCAGATAAGGCGTATAGCTGATTGAGAGCACCAATCAAGGTCTCTGTGGGTGGAGGGTCCATGAAGTCAAAGGTCAATAGATCGTTGATTCCAAGTGACTTAAGTAGCAATACTGTACCATTCAGATTTGTTCGCTGAATTTCAGGAGTGGTACTTTCTTCCATTTCATTCATAAACGCCCATTTTGTGTACAAACGGAAGCACTTTCCAGGTCCTACACGACCGGCACGACCACTTCTTTGATTCGCAGATGCACGTGAGCATGCTACTGTAACCAACTTTGACATTCCAGTCGCCGGATTGTATATATTCTCCTTTACAAATCCCGGGTCAATAACATATACAATTCCATCAATGGTTAAACTCGTCTCCGCAATATTGGTTGCTAAGACGACCTTTCGTGCACCTTTAGGTGTTGGTTCGAAGATCTTAGTTTGTAGATCGGTCGGGAGATTTGCGTAGATAGGACAAATAACGAGCTCAGGTACCCTCGAACCCAATTTCTTCGAAATATCACTTATTCGTTCTTCGGCTGCCTCAATCTCATCTTGTCCTGTCAAAAATATCAGCACATCGCCACTTGGCTGAGAGGTATGTATCTGAAATAGTGTGGTAATAGCAGCTGCAAGATAATTTGCTTCTGGTTGAGGGGTGTTGTAGATGTCAACCGGAAAGCTGCGACCTTTTACATTGAAAATAGGAGCGCCATCGAAAAACTCTGAGAAAGCCTGAGCGTTGATTGTCGCCGAGGCGATCAAGATTTTGATTGTTGGCCTCTCTTTGGCAAGATCCTTGAGTAGAGCAAGAAGTATGTCTGTATGCACAGTCCGCTCGTGAGCCTCATCAATCATGATCACCTGATACTCGTCCAGAGAAGGTGTTATCATGACCTCTTTCAAGAGATGTCCATCTGTCATGTATTTTATAAGAGTTTTGTCGCTGGTGCAATCTTCAAACCGGATAGCGTATCCAACTTCATTGCCAATCTTGCATCCCATTTCCTCGGACACACGTTGAGCAACGGACATGGCAGCCACTCTCCTCGGCTGGGTTACTCCGATTTTCATCCCGCCCTTAGTATACCCCGCCTCGTGTAGATATTGAGGCAGTTGAGTAGTCTTCCCAGAACCTGTCTCACCGACAAGTATAATAGTTTGGAACTGTTCAAGAGCAGCCAGAAATTCATCCTTATAGGCGTATATTGGGAGGTTTTTTCTAGTTTCCTCGATGGTCTTTGCCTTCTGCTCAGCAGCTTTCAACTGTTCACCCAGGAACCGTGCCTCTTTATCCAGACCCTGTCCGGGTAGCTTCGAATCCATAATCCATTTAATCCCTTGCTCCTCGTCCAAAATGTAATCATATTCGCCTTGGTCGACTCGTTCAGTGCTTTGAATTTGATTATTGGCAAGTTTCAACTGCTGCAACTCCCACTCCTCGTGCTCGGTGACGAATTTCTCCTGGCCATATTCATCTCTCTCGACATAGCGTTTGTACAATGCATCTTGTTTCTTCTTCTGATTGAGTTTCCCTTTCTCCGTGATATAGTCGTCTGGCATAGCATAGCCATCTAGATGATCATCGATACTTAGCCTTTCATCGGCGAGACGAAGTACCTCTCGATTCTTGGCGAATTCTGCCTTCTCTCTCTCCGACAAATTCGAATAAGGATCGTTCAGCTCCCTCGACTCATCCTCGACTTGTTTCCTCAGCAAAGCGAGCCGTTCCGTCTCACGCTTCTTCAAGTATTCTTGCCTCGAACGTTCCCTTATATCTGGCATTGCAGCACTCCTTGCAGCAGCATCGTCGGCCAAAGCTCTTCTCTGTGCCATGATAGGATCGGACCTATCCTCGAGTATTTTTTTCGACTTATCGGAATTCTTCGACAGCAGCCTCTGCGCAAAAGCATCTTTCTCCGCTTGATCTTTCCTTCGATCTTTTTCTGTATCCGAAATGTCGTCCTCCGAATGACTCGTTTTCACACGTTTGGAGGCAGGCTCATGGAATTCTAGTTCTTCTTCGGAAACATGTTCTTCGTCGCCCCATCTATCCTCATGATCATCATTCGTCTTTTGTCGAATGTTCTTTGACCGCTGCTCTGTATCGCGACGAGGGGATTTCTCTCGACGAGGAGACCTTTCCTGGTGTCTGTCGCGCCGCGAGGAGCTCTCGCGATGTGACTTTTTCTCCTTCTTCTTTACTACTACCTTCGTTGGGCCTATTTCATCATCCTCCATAGGAAGAAGCGCGTATTTCTTGGAAGCCATGTTGTGTGATTAGAAATATGGTTCGAGAGTAAATAAAGAGGTTTAAGTAAGGCTGGCTTCCAGAATGGATCATTGAATGTAGGGTTTAAGTATTTAATGTAGGTCGTAGCCTTGCGATATGCACGATGTGATTGCTTGAAGCTCAAATAAGTGGGACATCATGAAAGCCGGGAATTACCCGATCGCTCAACACAGCATTTTTGAACCTCACTTCAATAAACGAAAATAGTGCCATGCGACGGAATGTGATGAACGATATTTGATACTTGAATAATTGAAGTGGAACAGAAGGAAAAGTGCTGGGCAAAATGAACCGAACTTCGATGAGTCTCTGGAGGGGCTCCAGATACCTTGCGATCAAGGGTGTACCCATATCGCAACGACGACTGGCATCCTCAGATACTCCATCACCTACTGCAAGTCTTCCTCTTGTCTTTCCTACATGCCCAGCCCATTCGAATATCCTTCGCGTATTCAATGAAATGAGGTATAGCTAACACCCACCCAGCGCGCCTTCTACAAAACTTTCACCCGTCCTGTTGTAAAAACACTCTTGACGGCTGTTTTCATATACCAATTGACATATTGGGCTTGGGTCAGACTGGAAAAGGACGAATTGAAGGCGAACAAGCGGTTAGAAATCAAAGAACTTGAGGCGGAATTGGAAGAGGTCAGTGAAGGAGCTATTAAGGGCGAAGATGTGAAGGTTAAAGGTGTCTGAGGAGATGTGATGATACTATGTGCGAAATCGAGGCACATGGGCACTCGAAGAACTTGTGAACGGTGGAAAGAAGGAGATGAAATCGTTGCGACTAGGTGCAGTCGCTTCCACGATCTGGTCATAGTGCTGGCCTCTTTCGACTCTACGGTCGCACTCCATGCACGGCTACGGCTTGTAGATGAGATGCCGTTGTTTGCGATATACCCACCAGTATACAACAAACTCGATGTAATAAACTCGACGTTTTGCGCAATCCAGAACTCGAAAAGATACAAACATTATTGTTATGCGCGGTCATCTGAAAATTAGGAGGGCTATCACCTCGAACTCATGAGCTCCAAAGTAGGACATAGCAATAATGTTACACGATGTTCGCCATCATACCCTACTGCTTACGTTAAGAACTTGACATTGGCTGTGGAATGTACTTCGCACTTTACGCTATATGATTAGGATATAATGGAAGTCGGCATGATATCTTTGACGTTTGATAAATTTGCAAAAAAAATATCAAGTCGCTCATTACTTTTCCCTTAGCATGATCACTCACCACCAACTTGTCGATGAGCAACCAGCTCAAGGAGTTAACCAAAAAAAAACATTGAAGTGTAGCAAGCACTCTCTCTCTGTGATGAATGAAATTTGTACTCACTTTGTTGTCGATAACCCCATGGTTCAAATGTCCTCCGTGATGATGAAAGGAAGGAAGGAAATGATTTATACTTAACTTGATTTGTACAGTCACGGTAGTCACATCACAAGGCACAGCAATTAAACCGATCTCCAGAGCCATGAGGCTAAGAAGGCGGCTAACATGTCACAGTATTTATGTTCCCTAGTAGAATGTTAGCAAAGAACGCGAAGCGAAGAATTGCCAAGGGAGCTAGAGAGAGAGTTTGCTTTTGTTGATGGGGTATGAGCTGTTTGGATATAAGTACCGTTAGCGATTCGGTTGCGGTGGTGAATGATTGGGTGGGCGAGAGGTGTCCGGTGGGAGGGAAGCGATAAAGCTTCTGGGCGAAGGCGGTCAACTTGGCGGATAGGATATGGCAATTTTGGATGAGGGTGGAGAGGACATGAGACTGAGGAACGTATGGTAATAATGTTCTCAGTTGCAAGTGTTGTCCTTCTGCTTTTCATGATATTTCGAGGATCGTTCTCGATACGGCTGGCTCATAAATAGAGTCAGTATAGAACAGCGGCTAACATATACGGTTCAGCCTCATGACAGACTGCATCACTGTAAAGGGTGGGGTGGGAGTCATGCATGAAGCATAGTGCGACAACTAAGAAAATCAACAGAAGACCTTTGAGATTATTGTTTCGAAAAATTGCATCACTTTCTTCCAGGCTAAAAGTATATCACTTTGTCATAAGTGAAAATCTACTATATATCAACGGGATCCCACTCTTTTTTGATAAAAATTATGACCGTATTCCACTCAAGCACCCTTCCATCTTCCAAATCGAACCCAATCTCTATACAAAGTGCCCCAAACTGCCCTAGCGCTAGCATCCAAACCGTCAACCACAGCCTTTCGCCCTTCCATATCAGTGCATCCGAAAATTGCATACAACCCAGGTGTCATAGCAGGTCTGACTTCTGGCCTCATTGTCATTTCGAGGTTAAATCTTATGTATGTCTGAAGTATGATGTGCATGTGTTGGCCAGCAATTTTTTTGGCTTTGGCTACGGCGGATGTAAGGTTATTCATGGATGAATGAGATATAGAATTAGGCGTAGGATCGCATAGTAGAGTGAGAAGACGGGTGAAAGACTCAGCGGCGATTGGTGATAGCGAGTGTGATGAACTTGCCGTAGTGGGCGTATGGAAGTTTGGGAGCCACGGAGGTGCGGGGAAAGCCTGAAGAAGCCTTTTAGAAGTGTGTGAGTGGGCTGTAAATAGGCAGCGAAGGAGAGGCTGCAGAACTTGAATGGCGCAATGGAGATGCCCCTCGAGACGAAATCGGTGATTGGTAAGAACGACCTTCATCAATGTGCAGAGACGAATAAAGATATTGCTAGCCTGAGTGGTGGGGAGAGAAGGTCCTTTGGTAGAGCATATTATGGCAATTATGGCAAGAGTACGATCAACAGACCATTGTGAGAGGGCACGACGCTGCGAATTTGTTAGCTACATCCTCGTCGGGAGATTATCGAGTTTGAAAACTTGCCTTTGTCTTCAACATCATCTCCATAATTTCCCCCAGCAAAGCAAACACTCGGTATGAACGCGTTTTAATGATTTGAGTGCAAAATAAGTCGTATGCTAGACCGAGATTCATTGATTTTGGGTTCGTGTTTGCATCAGTAGGCTCGTATCCAACATCTATGATGGGTCAGCTATAATCGGCAAGAGGTGAAAACATATTAGACTTACTATCACAGGCTCCAATAACATATTTGACAGCTACCAACTTCTCCAGTTGGGTCAAGCCAACCAACTTATCGCCGAATAATTGTTGTACCAGTTGTAACTTTTCAGAATTGCCCATTCCAGAAGTTATTGTTTCCATCTTTTTCTTTATGCCGGCTCTACCAGCAGTTGTACTAATGAAAGCCTCCAAAGCGGTATGAAGGATTCCATTTTCATCGCTTGATGCATAAGCAGCGAAAAACTCGGGCAAAAGCTGGCGTACACCATCCACTTCTGGCTTCCCTTCATTCAACTTCGTAATGTATGCCTGACCTTCTGCGGCGAGAGCTTCAAGCTGTGATGAATCCACGTCAACGGATTCAAGAGCCTGAAGAATGACAACGACTGATAATGATCCATCCCTATGACGTCCAACCTCGTCCCTCTTGGGTTTCTTCTCTAGTCGATGTTGCAATTGAATGAGAAGAAACTGCTTGAAGGATTTGCAAAGGGTTGTAAGATCTTGGCTACTAATGAAAGCTAGATCATTAAGTTGTTTCGATTTCGCGACAAGAACGGTAAGTAATGAGTGTGACGTGGAAATGAAAGGTAAAGTCTTCTCGCCTTTAGACTTTTTCTCGTCGTTGGTAAACTTGGATAGCTTATCTTGGAGATAACTTATGGCGTCTAAGATGTAGGCGCGATTTTGAGACTGATCCAAGTTGCTGGTAATATGTCTAACGAAATCAGTAAGTAAAGGATCAAAAGAAGAATGGTGTTAATAATACATACGACAAAGTCAGCTTAACAAGCTCTCTTAGAACTGTAAGAGTTTCCAAACGTCTAGGCATTTCTTCGAACCCGACTTTCTTGATCAACTTCTCAATTTCTTCGAAATCCTTGTATTTCATGCCCTACTCTCGAATTAGCAGCTACACTTACGGTTTCGTTAATTGTACTAACATTGTAGAATGTAGGGCGATGCATGATCTTCAATTTCAGTGCCAGCACGGCAGAGTAACACTCGGGGGACTGTGCTAAAACTTCTATTGACCAGCTCTGCATGATACGCTCTCTTTCCTTCTTAGTGAACACCTCGAGGGGTAGTTGCGTCAAAGATTCGATGACTGCCTGATTGCATGTAGGGGCAGTAAGAAGAGGATTTTCTTCTTGAGACTGGCAGTTCAACAGAACATCAATAAATCGGCCTGAAATATGTTAGCAAATGAATTTGATTGATTAGTAGGCTGTAGAGAAGAGAATATAACTCACTTATGACACTAGAGTTATTGAGTACACAATCTTGACGCAAAACTCCAGCCCACAAAGCGGCAAATGCTTCGTGGTTTAACCCACTATCGACCAGAGTGTTTGTAGTACAAGACGCTATCCAGAGGATGTTTTTTAATAGTAACTCAAACGTACTGTCCTGTAATATTGTTCCTAGTCTATGCTTCTGTTAATCTGATATTCTTTGCGTGTACTGAAGGTACTTTGGAGGTACTTACTCGAGGACGCGGGGATATTCTTCAAATAGACAATTATAAAATGACCATGCAGTCCATTGAGGTACTCGTGATAATGTGTTAAGTTGAACAGGCCATTTTTCAACGCCTGTCCCCTTCTGATCAATCAAAGCCCCAATAGAAGGACCTAGATGTTGAAGACAACGTAAAACTACTGGTGATGCAAGACTCTCCAACTTCGTCCCTTTTTCGGCCGAATTCCATGCTGAACATGCGCATCGGAAGATTTCCAGATTATCCAACCCCTTGTGACTGAACGTTTGGGAATCTAATAGGCTAAAGGGGCTAGCTTTCTGCTCCCATAGCTCGGCAATTTCATCTAAATGAAGAGGCTGCATCCACTGGAAGGATCTAGTCAGAACTCTCCAGGCTCGCCAGCTATATCTGTCATCCAATTTGCTGAAGCTCCCGTTATCAAACATGATATGGTATAGACGTGTTCCGATGATATCTACAACATCTTCCCTTGCAATTGAATTCGCGATAGCTTCAAGAATGGTAACAGCAGCTTCCGGTTGATTTGCAGTTTCGATGGCTAGCCAGTCAACCAACTGCACTATTTGCTGAACGGTCAATGAATTTTCCAGAATCTTGGGAAGTTCAATCTGTAATGCTTCATCCTCCCAAGCACAGAATGCATTTGCCGGGAACATTGCATCGTCCTTTCGATCTTGCTTAAACTTGACAAGCTGAGCGTACCAATGGTGCACAAATCCCGATAGATCACGAGCTTTTGCAAACTCATTCATCAAAGGAATGACAATCTCAGATACAATATGACGAGATTGTTCGGGCCAGGATTCGTCGAAATAGATGGTGGTAATTCTTTCCAATACGTCCTTCAGTAAATCCCTGCCGTTAACAGGAATGAGGAAGACATTGGCATCAAGTTTCATCATGGTTTCCAGAAGTCTCCAATCGGTGCTTCCCTCAGATATGATATACTCCGCCGTCAAACTCTGCAATTCAGGGAGACCAAGATCCACTTCGTGTTGAATGGAGCTCTGAAGTATTTCTCGAATGGCAAGATTATGCGCCGTCGTTTTATTTGGAGGCATGGCAGCCTTCAGTGCAGTGAATACTGTCTGAAGCCATGCGTTGTCTGATGGACGTCTTCGACGGCCTCCATGAGGTTGCAAAGATCGAATTGCAACATCGAAAAGAATAGGGGCATTTGCGACATCCTGCAAAACTAACACTCTCGTCAAGGTTTGCAAAAGTGTGGAATCTTGCTTCTCTCCAGCATTTGCTTTGGAAGGAATAATGATGTTGCGAGCAATCACTTTCTCCAAACTGGCTTTCCAGTCTTGTGTGGCTGAATCTGCCTTGGTCCTTTTCAGTAATGCCAGCAAAGGTTCTGAACAATGAAGAGAAAACTGCATAAGATCTTCGCTCCCTACCACACGGTAGTCCCAGATGTCGATGAAGGGATATAGCAATTCGGATGATATAACTGTGCCAGCTTCTTGGCCTAGAACCATTTGGCAAAGAGACATCCAGGATCCTAGAACTATTGCGGACGCTTCGGGCGTGGTTCGTACGACAGCTCGCATATACTCCGTAGTGAATGCTGTACTTCTACCATTGCCCAAGGTTCTTTGCGAGAAGGAAACTTTGGTAGAACGAACGATACTATGGATGGCAGTATAGATCGCCATGACTAAGGCTCTTAGCCCTTTGGCTGGACCATGGTACGTATGTGTAATCAATTCCCCAGTCCGTTTGCGCTTCTTCGAGACAATCGAGGTTTCTCCCGAATCGGATCCCGATATTGAATCATCGTGGGCCTCCGCGCCAGAATCGTCGACGTCGCTGATCTCTTGTGCTTCTTGTAATGTCTGTTGCAGGGTTGCCATAAACTTCTTTTCGGTGAGCATGCGTGCGGTATTCGCCAGTGGGATTGCATTCAACAATAGACGGAAGAGGTGCCATGATGATGGTGTAATTCTAAAAGGTAATTATGAGCTCTTGATATCCAATTCAGAACGTAATGGATGTACCTGGGAGTTTTGTCCTTCGAAGACTGCAGTTTCTTCAACAGCCATCGCAAAAGCCATTCCTCTCTCCCATGGAACGAACCGGCAGCACATTTCTTCTTAAAGATTTTTTCTTCATGTTTCTGATAATCCAAGACGGTAGCGACCTTATCTAAATCAATATCAACGAATTTTCCCGCTTCTCGAATCTGTTCCTCAAACGGCGCAGAAGCTTTCTCAAGCCCGGCAAGTTTTTCTTGCGCAATTCGAGATTGTGAATCCTGTATGATCATTAGTACATGTTTGAAAACTAGCACTTGTGCGACTTTAAAGTACATACCATTATTTAAAACTCTCACTAATGACTAGATTTTGTGAAATTCCCCTCCCTCATCAACAGCTTAACTTTTTTTTTGGAAGCCTCTAAAAGTAAATTGCTATAAGTGGTATAGTTTGGTGGCAGAATAATCTACCGCTTTCCTGATCGATCCAAGCTCACGCACTAGTTCTTGCAACGAATAAAATAAAATTTCTAACCTCGGATTTAATTTTCTCACTTGCAACAATACCACAACTTAATTTTAAGAGTTGGTAAATGCTAAGTATGGTTAAAGACGACACTATCCCACCGAGTAATGAAGATACTGTTGCCGTTGAGGATCTTTCTTCCTTGACCATTCAGGACCCTGACTCTTCGGTGGTTGTTGATCGCCCAGAACTTCCCCATCGTTCTCATGATCCCGAAACCAGCATGAAGAGATCAGACCCGTTTCAATTTGGTTCTCGATATTTAAGTGAACAAGACAATGTCTTCGAGTTCAATGCATGGGACCACGTCGAGACTGATGATACTTACAAGGAGTATGCAGAACTACAATACGCGAAGCAACGCGAAGCTCCTGTATCGGAATTTGATAAAAGTACGTATTTTCTTCTTCTCCCTTACTCCCCAAACACTGTGTCAACCTTTTGGCACAGTGCTACTATGACGATAAATCATATATCACCTGAGGTTACTAGCCTATGAATGATACAAATATAGCAAATGTCTTTCGCTCCTATCTGATTGTAGTTTAAACTTATAAATCTATTGAATTTCTTGTTTTTACCGAAAGCTAACAAATTTCTCTTAGACAGATTCAATTCCGATCCCGCAAAATGGTGGAACAATTTCTATAAAAACAATACTGCCAACTTCTTCAAAGATCGCAAATGGCTTCAACAAGAATTTCCTATCCTTTCTCAAGTAACAGAGTCATCTTATGGACCCATTACTATTCTTGAAGTTGGTGCTGGGGCAGGTAACACTGCATATCCAATATTGAAACATAATCAAAATCCTGAATTAAAAATCCATGCTTGCGATTTCTCCAAGAAAGCAGTGGAAGTGATACGTTCGAACGAGGCATATGACACAAAGAATATACAAGCAGACGTCTGGGATGCTGCCGGCGATGTTCTTCCCCCAGGATTGGAAGAGAGTAGTGTTGATGTTGTGATCATGATCTTTATCTTCTCTGCCCTTTCTCCCAATCAATGGAATCAGGCTGTTCAGAATATCTTCAAGGTCCTCAAACCAGGCGGCGACGTTCTATTTCGAGACTACGGCCGTGGCGATCTTGCTCAAGTACGTTTCAAGAAAGGTCGTTATCTGGAGGAGAACTTCTACATCAGAGGGGACGGAACCCGGGTATACTTTTTTGAGAAAGATGAACTGGTCAACATTTGGACCGGAAAACTTCCCGAATCAGATGCTCAGGACACAGCCTCAGCCTCAATGGCAGAGCAAGAGAGTGGCTTCGATATCGTTGATCTCGGAGTCGATCGAAGGTTATTGGTCAACAGAGCTAAGGAACTAAAGATGTATAGATGCTGGATGCAAGGCCGATTTAAGAAGAAGGATTTGCCTCCTGTCACCAATTCAACTTAATTTTTTTATCCATGTGTTGCAAGTCGCGTTCTCTTTTGTCTTCCGTGCCTTGAGTAATGTCTGTTGAATTCGGGCTATTGACCTTCATGATAGCTCAGTAAGGAGTTTCGATAATGATTTTCTTTCCTTGTATGCGCTAGGATTGTGTTCTCCGTTAATTTTTGTTTCTCTCGGGCTTAGATCTACTCTGCTATCCACATCACTCTTCCGGTAGTAATGACCGGAAGCCTTCCCATCCTTAAAGAGGGAAACATCCAGGCTCAATTTGCATTCAAGCTCTCCATCCACCAATATGAAGTGATCGATATAAAGCCGGATATCACCAGAGGAGTTCACAGAATCTCAATTCCAACATTCTAATGGAAGAGAATCCGATCTCGCTTCCTATGGGATACAAATTTCAGTATACTTTGTGCTCTAGATGGATGTCTGTCAATCTTTACCAAGTTCATGTAGAATCGACATGCATGCACAACGGTTGTTTTACCAGACAGCCATTGCTGACTTGGGATCGTCTTTGACTAAGTGGCATTTTGGTTTGGTCCTTCTCCCTCTCCCTCTCCATTGCGGCGGTTCAAGTAGCTTGGAATACGAATCTGTTAGTCATATACGGTAGGCCTACCCTTGGTTTGAATATTTTTAGATGGCTTGAGTCACCCTGCATGTACTTGTATAGAAATATATTGATGAACATGAAGCATCCAAGTAAGTACCAAGCAGCAGTAGCAGCAACATCATACAATGCAATACCATTGTCTCCTGTATATTTGAGATTGCGCATCTAGACTTAGGCTTAGGCTGAGGACTCACCTGAATCCAAATCTCCTGAGGGCTGGGGTCAAAGAGACTTCACTGTGAGGTGGTATGGGATGATGGAATTGGAAGTTATCCTAATATGTAAATGTGCAACCAAGAGAGGAAAGCTGAATATGATAAGATGAATAGATGGTGAGATGTGATGGGATGAAAAGGAAACTATTTACGGAGCTGACAATTCCACATCCTTTGTTAAGCTCTGTTCTGGACCCCCCTTGGGAATTAAAGAAATAAATTGTATTGTACTTTGCCTTCTTAGCATAATAATTTCACTGTCTTTTGGTTGGTTTAACTGTGTGCTTATTTTGGCTGGTATATCTTCTATAAGGGCCTAAGATAGGAATCTACCGTAAGTGAATCAGACAATCATGACTGCTATCCGTGCTATGGTACATACCTCAATCTTCCGAGCCTCAGAGATTGTTATATAGAAATTGTCGTGTGATGTAATGTCAGGGACATTCACTTGTGGCTTTCTACTGTGATTACTTGAACTAAGATAATTCAACAAAAGCCCAATCTCAAACTTAAGATCAAACCCTGAGGCACTTTGTTAGAACTTGGAATCTGTGATGTTTGTGCTATGTTTATGTTTTCTTCATATAACTTCACTATGATTGCAGTGATTAGTTTTATGTCAAAAAGAGAGAGCTGTCATGATTCATCACTCAAACAGTAACATTGATGAACATTAGGTGGGTGGGTATAAGTGCAAGAAGTTAGTCTTCATCACAGATATTTCCCACAACTACTCCCCAAAACTTTCTATAGTCGAGATAGTTTAGTTAAATATATATCTACCATTAATATCAAGTTCGATATCTCTTGATGAGGTTCCTATGTTCATATACCATCATCACAGCAGAGAGAAGAGAAAATCATAATAACGTCATATACTTTCATGTTTCATGATGTCCCATCCCTATCATCCGAAGTTCTTGAACAAACACAGCACAATACAATTAGACTCAGCTGTACTAACGCTCGGATATACCAACACGGCTCGGGATTCGGCTTAATATAGAGAACCCCTCTTCCATCACCGAGCGGTGAATATATAGTAGTTGCCATAGCCATTACTACTTTATAAACCCACACACTTTGCTTCCTCCCTCCGATAAATTCTTCCATCAACAACCTCAAGTTGAGAACACCTTTTCACAAACACCCAAACTCTTTCCATCAAAGACTTTGTTACACTTTGCTAAATACTTTCCAAGATCACAATAACCTTTACAAAGTTGATATCCTTCTTATTTGTTTACTTTTGCAATACTTTTGCGGTACTTTTGTCAAGGTACCAAAATTGGCGGGTCCTGACAAGTCATTCAGTTACAAATTTACAAGCCCGACTTCAAGTTTTTGGAAGTAATTTGATCACCAACCTCTCGGGAGCACAGGCTGTCAAGTCACCTCTTTATATTTATTTATTTTACTTCCAACACATAACAATGGCACCCAAGAGAAGACAAGCTGCTGTCGCAACCCGCAGCTCATCCAGATTGGCGAAGAAAGCTAGGGTCGCTAGTCCAGAGCCAGAGGTAGAAGCCCCATTGATAAAAGTGCAAGAGTCGTCGGAGGATGAGGCACCCATTCATCGTGACCGTAAGTTCTTCTGTTGAATATCAAGTTGATCAACTCTAACTTCAGTAATTCAGCTTCCCCAGAAATCGAAATCGAAGATCCCATCAAAAGGGAACCGCGTTCTGGTAAGTTATCTCGATAAACATTCTTTTGATGATGATCTAACATTGCTTTAGCTTCACCAAGAAGTATCGCACCATCAGTTAATGATGACCAAGGATCCGGGTCAGAGAGTGACGAAGATGTCCAGGACGATTTCGACGATATTGACATGGATGGTGATGACGAGGCCGAAGACGTCCGGGAAGATCCCGAGGAGGATGAAGAGTTCTCAGAAGATGAGGAGACCGATCCTGAAGATTACGATGTAGATTCCGATGATGCGTACTACGAAATGGTTCGGCAAAGACGTAGTAAGTCTGCTCCTCAACACCATTGTGAATTCAATCTAATGTTAGCAACACAGTCCAGAACGACGATCAACTTTCCGAGATTGAGCTACCACCACTGTTCATGGAGACGATCCGTAGTGGAGAGGGCGATGCTGAATTCTGGGAAGACCCACGTCTCGAAAGCACCCAGAGATCGAACAAACTTCCCAACCTGATGGGAAGAGACGGGACAAAAATCACCATCCCACTCGAGATATGGATGGAAATCTTCAGCTGGCTCGATATCATCACCGCCATTTCAGTATCTTTGACCAACGTCTTCAACTATGGAATATTCAATGATACATTTGGGGACGATGATGGTGTATATAGGGAAGTTGTTCCCCTAGCATCCTACGAGCCAGTTGAGCCCTGGGATTCAGGTATCTTTGAGAAACCCTTCCCATTTCCGCCGGCCATCAACAAGAAGATTTGTCTCCAAGATGTTCTCCATACCTGGTTTCCCGCAACCCTCACATGGGTTCATTACGGCGAAGACTCCAAGTATCACGGTCCCAGATCCCTCAAGCTCATCAGACGATACATCAGGCGAGAGGAAGCCGAAGCACGTCGCATAGAGCTCAAGGAATACAAGAAGCGACACAAGGAGCGTCGAGAAGCCAAGGAGCCACGACAAGAGATCAGAAGATCCCGTATCGAAAGGCGCCGCGACAGAAGAGAGTCCAGGTTCCAACGAATCGCAGACGAACATCACAATGACTCGGACTTGTCAGACGATCATGATTGTCTCGAGAGGCACTGTGCCATTAATTACACAGATGCTCATAATACGATCGTATACATGGACTCCGGACGGGACTCGGATACTAATTCTGAAGCAACCAATCCTTCCATTGGTGATCCGGACGATGGGGGTGTGTGGACTGATGACACAGAGGATTGAGTTCAGTTGTGGTATTTGATTCTGGGGCGGTCGTGGATTAGCCATAGTGTAGTGTGGTGTGGCAATGGGAAGGATGATGTTTTTTGTATGGTTCGGTTGTCGGTTAGGCGGCGGAAAATAATTTGCTCTAGTATCAATTGCGTATTTGAATTTGAATTCAATAGAACTAAAATTTATTCCTTGAGAGTTCCCGTTTATGTTTCCTGCGAGTCACCGGTGATACCATTGAAGCAATTCTTCATATATGTAAGAGAGAGTAAGGTGACAAGAAATGTAACAGCAGTTTCCTTTTCCTTATTAGGTCAACTCGAGTATGAACATATATCTTCCATGGTATGGTGGATAAAACATACCCAGGTACATACAGTACGAGTACAGTGCTTTATACTGAGCAGCATTGTGCTGAGGGTTAGGCTGAGGCTTAGACTTATACTTTAGGATACGATCAACATATACCAGCGAAAGCTACAGGCGAAATTGGGACCACTTACTCACTTACATGTTCTTGTTCTGCTTTCAGTTCATTCATATAGTAAGTGGTAGTATTGCGCAATTTGATTTTATTTTCATTTTCATTACCATTACTATTTTCATCTGCAATACCATACGAGCGATACGATGGCAGGCACATAGCACGTCGTCCATAACACGTCGGATCGTCCATACCTCACTCATCAAATGCTCTCTTACACGATACCCTCCTACCACAAATATACCTCAAACCCAAAACCCCAAATTACTTTTCAAAATATTCCCCCTCGTCCCTCGTCGTGCAGCCAAACAAGCATTCCATATGCTTTGTACTTCTGATAAAAAAATGCCAAATCTTACTTTTCATTTTCATTGTCTACTCGAGTAACTGTCTTTATGCTAAATGGTCCCTTTCCCCGCAAATGACTTAGCATCTCGGTTATGCGATTTTGACAAAGGGGTTCAGCATTTAGTGTTAATTAGGGATATATTATCATACCATGCACATGTAGAAAAGGAAATGTAATGCACTTACTCACCTCGTATTTTGTAAAATATATTATATCTCATTCATATCTATATCTCACATCCATCTTATATATACACCATAAAACCCCCATAAATCCCCTATAAACACACACACCAACCCAGCAATGGCCCAGCCAATGCGCCAAATCCGCGAATTCGCCTGTCCCACCGTCCCCCCCGACCAACCCACCTACCACCTCGTACAAGGCGATATCCTCGATATTCCCACCGAAGCCATCGTACTGCAGCTCGATGCCGGCCTGGTCAACGATCAATTAGCCGCACCCCCCGCCCAAAACCGCGTGGCGTGGGCGCAGCGCATCGGTGATCAAGCTGGTGCGCACATCGCGTTGTATCAAGGTCGGGGGCCACTGGGCAATGCGTGGACGAGGCCTTTCACTGGTATGTTATGTTATGTGATGTGTGATGTGATGTGTGTGCGGAGGTGATGGTGATGGTATGGCGAATTAATATTTAGCGAATAAATGCTAATGGAGTGTGTAAATTACAGGACATGGTGGAACGCTGGGAACCCGGCCGGTTGGTAATTTTCCCATTATGGTGATAGCGGTTAATTTAGAAGAGCCTCCTGCTCTTCTGGGGCCGGATCCAGCGGCGCCAATGGCTGCTGGGAGAGATAACCCGGATTGGAGATTGAGGAGAGCGATTAATAACATTTTGTGTCGCGCTTATAACATTAGGCGCGATCTCCCCGCCAACGATGCGCTTATACCGGCACCACACAGATGGAGGCTTCGAGCACCAGTCTCTATTGCAATTCCGTTAATTGGGAGTAAATCCGGGTACGGGGTTGTTAATTCGGCCGAGTAAGTTTTGGGGGCTCTGTTGTGCCCATCTTAAATACCCCTTTTTCATGTGCATACATGTTACTTTACAACGCTGGTTGAACCCCCCATTTTCCCTCAAATACTTTGTGAATAGGCAATTGCTGACTCTCCAATCTTGCAGAAATATTATGAGTGCGGTCGCGGGGTGGTATCGCAATGCGACACTAGATCCTGTGGATTTTGGTACGCCTGCAGATCGGGTTGCTACAATTCAGGATGTATTTCTCGTTGTTCCCAACACAAGGAAATCACGTCCTGGGACAATCGAGAGTGCCTGGCTTAAGGCATGGGGGTAAGTGATGCTCCTTCTTTGACGTTTTGTTGACATCGGAAACTTGTTGATGTTGATGTTTGTTGTGATGTTGTAGTCGATATCTCCCAGCCGACAACAATCGGCCACTTCTACACCCCCTCAATCTTCGCAATAACAGAGCCGAGGCCAACAATCTCCGACAGTTACAGCGTAGAAATAGAAACTTAGCAGGACATGCACCGGCAATAAATGATGGGAGGATGGACGTTCCAAACGATTTTGCGAGGGTTGTGAGAGGAGTTGCGCCCGAGTATCCCTTGAACAATATTCCATGGGTACAAGAACTTGTCACTGCGGCCTGGATCAATCGGAATTATCGAATTGCGCGAGGCGGTAGGATGACGAGAATAACCGAGGAATAGATCTCAAGGTCGCTTACCTGGGGAAATGTATGGAGTGGCATTTGTTGGAGTAGGAGGAGTCTCACCTGTATTCACAATCGTGTTCGGTTTCGGCATGATAGTAAGTATATAGGAAATGATATTTGAGCAATGCATTGAATGGTTGAGATCCACTTAAGTCTCTTAGTTTACATCTGCAAGTATCTGTCTGTCTAGATCTCCCGTGGTGCATATTTTACCGAGGTCTAATACTGAAATCTGTATAATGTTATGCAAAAGATTCGCCTCTTCTAGAGTGTTACCCGCTGTTGAAGTCATCAAGTGCACTAGTAACTTCCATAACTTTATTTGACACCCAGACTCAATACCTCTAATGACAATCCAATGAGCAGACATACTATACTATTCGACTCTCAAAGCCCGTGTATATATATTTCCAATATAAATTTTCCAAGACTGGAGAAATAGTATCATCGTATTAAAAAGACTCGAGGAATTTGGACACTTGACACTGGTATGCAAACACTACTCTAGAAGCTCCGAGAAATCATCATACCAACTTCATATTTTCAATAATTAAAAGTTGTCATAGCTAGATGTTCCTGTTTGATATGCCATTGACGATACTTGCTAGATGAAGAATTAATCCGTCAACAGCACTTTGACTCTTGGGTTTTAATTAAGGTCAATTTGATATTCCGCAGAGGACGTCCGAATCTTCCGACTTCAACTTCAACTTCATACACCAATGGGCGTTGTGATCAATGAATCACCTTGAAATTTGAGCCTCACAATAACTCCTAGGACAACCACTCTGATATTTCAAAACTTTATGAGCTCACCAATCGGAAGCTTATTATCGTATACACAAAAAACACCGAACCAGCCAATTAAAGAATGGATTGATTAATGACAATTCCGGAAGTTGAATAGCCCAAGAGTGATGATGACCAATGAATTATCACTGCACGCAGCAACCCCTCGTACTGTAAGCGATCTCGTGCACGTAAGTTTAAACCACGAGCCGGGTTTTATACTTTAAACCCGGCTTGTGGAAAGTTAGAAGGTAGACAGGTAGACACTTGGTACGCATTCATCTATGTTCTAGACCAACCGGAGGTTACTTTGCTTATCATCCTCCCAGCGACATGAATCAATGGAAATGAATTGGGAGCTTACTTCTCCCAAGATAGGTATGCGCTCCGTATAGTCAGGTATTAAAAAGTCGAATTAAGCGGCAAAATATAGTGTGTGGGTGTCTAGGTAGATATGACGCGAATATACCAATGATGAAATGCGAAAAGGTAATATCGGATATCAATCTCCCCGTCCTCTGAGAGCGACTATAATGAATGAGGTAGTACTTCTCCCTCGTCTTCAAAATGGAACAAATCAAAGACTATTCAATTGAACACCGAGTGGCATAACAAAGATTTCCAAAATGACTTACGAATACTCTGTCATCGTCAGGAACGATCAACCTAGGATACCATGCAGCTCTCAAGATCACAAGAGACCATCCAGACTACCTCGTCGTTATTGCTTCGCGGTCCGACAATAATGAGAACTCTGCTCAAGCCATCAACAAGACCCTGAAACAAGAGAACACCACTTTCATGCAGCTCGACCTATCTGATTCCAAAAACGTTCGCTGAGAAGTGGATAGCCGATTCTACAAACCTCAAATCAAAGCTTTGGTACTTAACGCCTGACTGCAATTTCCCGCCGGACTCGTGATGACACCCGAGCGGCTGGAAGCAACCCTTCGCCGTCGCTCACATCGGTCACGCACTCCTTTTCTTCCTCCTGTGTCCACATCTCGCGTCGGATTCTCGCGTCGTTCTCACTTCGAGCGGCACGCACGATCCAGCGCAAGAGTCGGGCTCCCAGATGCCGAGTACAACACCGCTGAGGATCTGGCATATCCCCCAAAATCTATGATTAATATCGCTGGCCGCAAGCGTCATGCAACCGCCAAACTTTGCAACGTTCTATGTACTTACGTACTATCGTGTAAGCTTGTTGAGCGTGTCCCTGAGCATCGTATCACCGTTACGACCATGGACCCGGGTCTTATGCCAGGCACGGGATTAGCACGGGAGGCAAACAAATTCGATAGCTTTCTTTGGAACTCAGTTCTGCCATATATACTTGGTCTACTTCGCCTGCTTGTATCGCCGAATGTACATACACCAGCGGAATCGGGTGCTGCGCTTGCCAGACTTGCGATCAGTGCTGATGTTGAGGGTACCACGGGTAAGCATTTTGAGGGACTTGAGGAGATCAAGTCGAGCTTAGATAGTTATTATGGAACTGGACAGTCAACCATTTCGTAAAGGATGAACATGAGAAAGCGAAGTTCGAGTCACTCAGGTGAACGTTGCTATTCGAGTATAGGACAGGTCAATAGGAAACCCATACAGTACTTCTCTGGCCTTTTTTTTGATTCATCATATACACAACATTCTATCAGTGATATTTCGTCAATCGGCGATCCAGCGATTACCTCATATCTTGTAGAATCGAAGGTGGTCTAGAGTTGTGTGACTTGAATGAATGTTTGGTACCTGGTAGATGCAACTGTGTTAGTCTTCCAGGTACTGTAGTGAAGTGTTAGTGGGTGGGGCAATCGGAGAAAATTATTATCAAGTTTCGCTGGGCGCGATCACGACATCGCAAATTTTACCTAACAATCCTCGTAATCCTTCATAAATTTATATATATTTTGAACACAATTTGGTTTTGACCAATGAAGAGAAAATAATTTACCTGTGAGTATCCACATAAACCCGAAGCTTTTAGTAATTTTCCAATTCTCGGTTCACAGTGGTATAACTCGGTGTACTCAGTACTGTACCTAGCTTGACTTCCGTCATACCATCTCGATTTAGTCCTCTTGACTGCTTGGATAAGTATGATTTCTCAATCACGTCTTCATCTCACCGTATCCCTCATATTTCCAAGTACACTTAAGAATCGTCCCATTTCCGTCTGATGTTTCGCCGAAACTCATTTCAATCTCATATTGTCAGCAAGCACCACGAACTTTTTTCCCCTCACACATAATTCATAATCTCGAAGTGCCCGAAACGCTTCGAATCCTATTAAAAATCAAGGCATTGTAAATCCAAGACACTTATAGGACCTCAAACCCCCATAAATGTCACCGAAATCATGAGAGACTATTCAGACAACTCATCGAGTCTTCCTAAATATGGCGGTACGGATCAAAATGGAGAGAACCATAAAACAGGAGTTGGAACACCGAGCGAACACACCCAAGGTAGAACACCTTTCCAGAGATTGACTAGTTATCTTAGCTCGTAGTTTCTGATTCCTAGATAGAAGAAGATGGATCAGAATATCAAACCAACGACGCGCGCCGTCAAATCGGCCCCTTTTCCGCCATATTCCTGATCTTCAATCGCATGATCGGCACCGGAATCTTCTCGACTTCAAGCACTATTCTTGCGCTTTCCGGATCTGTCGGTCTTTCTCTTTTTATCTGGGTTGCAGGTATGCTGATTGCCGCTGCCGGTCTTGCGACTTATATGGAATTTGGCACCGGGCTTCCACGAAATGGTGGTGAGAAGAATTATCTCGAGTATGTTTTCCGAAAGCCGGCATTCCTCGCCACTAGTATGTATGCAATGTATGTCGTACTCCTCGGTTGGGCAGGTTCAAATTCCGTGATATTTGGCGAGTATATCCTCAGTGCCGCCGAAGTTGAGGTGACTCGTTGGAATCAGCGCGGAGTTGGATTAGCCTGTATCACAACCGCTTTTCTGATCCATGGTTTTTCTGTCAAATGGGGATTGAGGCTTCAAAATTTCTTGGGTGTTATCAAGCTTCTCATTCTTCTCTTGATCATCATCTCGGGATTCGTCGCGCTTGGTGGCCATTTGAGAATTGAGAAGCCAAACAACTTCACAAATGCTTTTGAGGGGACAACTGGTAGCGCGTAGGTTGAAGCCCCCCAATGCCGATTAATCATCTGACCTTGCATAGTTATGGAGTCGTCACAGCTCTTTACAACGTCATCTGGAGCTATATTGGCTATAGCAATGCCAATTATGCGCTCTCCGAAACCAAAAATCCAGTCAAAACCCTCAAGATGGCTGCGCCGACGGCTCTTGCTATTGTTGGCGTGCTTTACATGCTTGCAAATGTTGGTACTTTCGAAGCTTTTAGCCAAAAATAATACTGACGTATTGCAGATCGCATACTTTGCCGCCGTGCCAAAGGAAGAAATCATATCTTCGGGCCGTATTTTGGCTGGTTCGTTTTTCAGAAACATGTTCGGACCGCGTGCCGAGCGAGTATTGTCCGTTTTTGTTGCCCTTTCAGCTTTCGGAAATGTTCTTAGTGTCATCTTCTCTCAGGGTAGAAGTAGGTTGCATCCCATAACTTTCTTCAAAATATCATACTTACTATTACAGTTGTGCAGGAAATTGGTCGAGAAGGTATTTTGCCATTCTCCCGACTTTGGGCAAGTAACAAGCCTTTCAACACACCATTCATGGGACTTTTTGAGCACTGGCTTGTATCTGTGATTATTATGTTGGCTCCACCCCCAGGTGATGCCTATAATTTCATCCTGAAGTATGTGCTTGGTATCTTCACAATTGATTGTCGTATAACTGACATGATCTAGTGTAATCTCGTATCCACTCGCGGTGGTTAATGTCTTCGTATCCCTAGCTTTGCTTATCCTTTACGTTCGACCATTCTCAGCGGATCGCCATCCTCAACATTGGGCTCCACCTTTCCGTGCCACTTGGCCGGTGGTGTTGTTTTTCCTCCTCTCGAATGTCTACCTTGTTGTTGCGCCATTTGTCCCACCTGATGAAGGGCAGAATGTATACAAGAGTTTGCCGTATTACCTCCATTGTGTTGTTGGAATTGCATTTTTCGGCGCAGGAGCTATCTATTGGCTGATCTGGGCTCAAATTCTACCCAGAATTGGTGGATATAAACTCATTCGAGAGCATATTGTAACAGACGATGGATGGAGTGGTAGTGTTTTTAGAAGAGTGAAATCCGAATAGAAGGAACAATCAAAACTAGGGTGGTCAAAAGGGGAAAAGGTAGCAAATGGGAGTGACATAAGATTGATAGAAAGGCTTAGACAATAATAATAATAATAACAATAACATCGATAACCAATTCAATCATATACAAACCTAGATCATAGATGGTTGTAAGAGATCGAAGGATTGAAGTTGAATTGGTAATATTGATGATATATATACATATTCGAGTAAATATGATATGATTGGTCTACCGGTACTGGGTAGCCACATTTACGCTTATCTAATCTAGCTTATCCGCTTCCTATCTCTCCAATCCAAAGAAACTTGTTCACAAAGGCACCTTAACTCATCTTGCAGTAAATTTACAACGCACAACAACAATGCTTCATTGAGACCCACATTCCCCTGGATGCCTCAAATACTGTGTCCCTCCCATCGTGCAAACTGTTATCCGCAAAACAATGGCACCACTTCTTGAAGATCCTCGCATCCGGCAAACTTGGAACCAATTCTCACAGAATGCGGAACATGCTACTGAGAATGCTGCGGCAGGAATATGGAACTTTCAGCACAACTATATAAACCCCTGTTTTTCGACCATCGGTAACGGCTTAGATGCATGTACAGCCCAATGTTTTCCAGGACAAGAAGAAAGGGCAAGGAGATTAAGAGAAAGAGGGCGGACGCGAGGGCGCGCGGAATTTAGTTTTGATTTCTACGACGATTGGGATGAAGATGAAGGGATATTAGGAGGATGGGGAAATGATGAGCTGGATAGGTTGTTAGCGGGAAGTGGATCGCATTCTGGAAATGTGAATGAAGCGCCAAGGAGGAAAAGAGGGATGAGTTACGGGACACGAGGAAGAAAGAAAGGATTAGAAGGCGATCCTACAATTATACCGAGTACAAGCGCTTTAGGATTTTTGGGACGCTTACCTTGGAAATTGGGAGGAACATTAAGATACAAACCTAGCGCGGCAGATCTGCAAGAACATCCCGGAGCACATCGATCAGATTTCAATGGAGTTGGCGAAGAAGGAGACGCATTGATGGGGGACGACCTTGATGATGATGCGCGGGATTTCATGAGAGGACATACGAGGAATAGGAGTTCAACACAAAGTTCAGGAGAGACTTCGGATTCGTTTCGATCGAGAGGGGATCTATTTCCCAGTGACGAAGAAGATGCGGTACCTTTGAGTGACGAATTTGCGATGGTTCTCGAGAGACGAAATACAAACTCCGGCACGGACGATAAGAGTAGTGGGAAAACACGAAGCAGTAAAGGTAAAAGACCTGCACGGTCAAGGGATGTATCACGAACTACACAATCATCACAAACGTTACGACCAGGAGGCCGCGCGGGCTCAGGGACGTCATTGCCAACAACGCCAGACCTATCGAGTCCTGATGTGATCGCCACTCCGTCAATTGAAGATCTACAATTGGAAGAGGAAAGAATACGTTTGGAAGAAGATGGAGAAGTGGAAAGAAAACGACAAGCCGCTTTGAGATTAGCGCAAGAACGGGGGCTCCATGCAGAGGATGTAATTGAATCTGTTTCTTCGGAACCAAAACAAGATATAGAGTCGGTAGAAGACGTGCCTACTCCACCTGATGCATTCGAAGTAGTGCAGGCCAGCGAATCACTTTCAGCCCAATCAGGGTCACAGGATGATAAGGAGGAATCGGAAAGAAAGGATAGTGACAGCGACAAAGGAAACGACTTTGTGCCTGCGAGACTACCAAACTTTGGTTAATCGCAGTCGTTTGAAACCGTCGCTTTACCACCTTTGAGAACCATTTTGAAGAACCATTAAAACAGCGTTCGGCTACAATCTGCATTTGACAGGTTTACCATGTCCAAAATCAGATGTGTTAGCGCCTAAGGATATGGATCAACATACCGGTACTGTGCAGATTTTTCGCTTACTAGCGAGTACGGAATATTATCAGAAGAATTTCCACAATATAAAGCAGAGGGAAGTAACAATTTTGTCATCGACTTCGAATTCGGGTGACCTGGCAAAGCCTACAGCGTCAAGCTACAAGCATTTGAAAAAGATCTCATCTTACCGGATTATCTATCAAGACGCTCAGCGGGGTAGATGAATACGGCGCCTGTCTCTCATTTTAATGGTGGATAGAATGATGGAGCAAGGAATTTATCTATGCAAAGCAAAGCATAACTCCCAAAAATCTTTAACAATTTGACGATTGATCGGTCATGAGACACATGGATTGGAGAAGGAAAACAGGATTGGGCGGAATAGGAAGGGGATTGCCAAATCCCCACAACTGGGCCCTGGCGTTATACGGAAGAAAGCATGAAGGATCTGCGAAGTGCTCGCTATACTTGAATGATGGTGGTCTATTTCTATTTGGTCATCAAGGTAGTTGGGACTTGATTGAGACTTGAGTTTGATATAATGTAATCTTATAACCTTTTAAAATGTCGCATCCATAGTCCCCCACTAAAATTGTCTTTATGCTATAATTACCCTTTATGTGTAGAATATCCTGGATTTATTCGGAGTGTTACGCGAGGCTTGACTAGGTGTATATATATATTATGTCGATTTCTCTTTCAAGGCGAAGCGATGTTGATGTCGATTATACACTTTATAGACTCTTTGCTTTTAGTCCCCCTTTTCCCTCATTTTATCAAAAGTTTCAAATCGATAATAAATCTATCATTTCAATGGAAGAGTATCAGTTCCCAAGCCGTTGAATCCCTTTCAGTTTAGTTTTGCCGCACTTCAAAAAGCCAATCCTTTTATCTCATCTCCCCTTACCTCTTTCCCTCTTTTCTTCCTTTTTCCTTATCCCTATTCATCTCCTCCCTTCCCCTTCCCTCTTTCCCCCTTCCTTTCTTCCTTTCTACGATACCCCCTACCTTTAAAAATAGGATTTGTCACTTTGTATTTACCATACTTAAGTGGCGATACGATACGATATCAGTCCTCATTTCTAGATCCTATTTAAAGTGACGACAATAACCTTAAAGGTTTAGCTTCAATTTTGGTTTTGGTATGCCCTTCACTATAACTATAACTATGACTTGTTACTCGAGGAGCTTATCAATGGCTGTTTATACTCGAGTAGATAATATATTGTGTGTTCAATTGAGCGATCTATCTATTGTTTTAACTGTGACTCTGTGTTATGATATGGCTAGAGGTTTTATTGATGGGCATGCAGATTCGTGGGATTTGGACCGATGTTATATCTCATGTTTCGTTATGAATGGGAATACTGGGGATACTATTGCAATAGGAAACTTGCTGGTTGCGATGCCATATGGTGTGAGTTTAGTTTTTACATATGGTATTTAATAGGAGGGAAAATAAAATGGTGGGACTGGTTGGGATAGAAGACTCTCTGTACGTTTTTATCCTCTTCATGTGATTTCCTTCTCCATAAAAAGTTCTATCAACCAATCACAAATCTTTCGATCCGACAACCTCGGTATTACCCCGCAAACCCCGATCATTTCACTCCACAATAATTTCTTATCCGCTTACCCCATATTATCTATTCTATTCTATCATCTCTTCACCATGTTTCATTCCAGTTATAACCCTCTTGTCCACGTATCTCTCTCTCGATCTTCTCAATTGTTAAGGTTATCTATATCTTCAAACCCTCCTTGAACCCCGCCAATCTTCTACACAAACCACAACCGACAGACACACTCAGAAACAAACACAAAATGGCTACTCAAGGCCCAATAACCACTCCTTTAACCACATTACTTGGAATTAAACATCCGATAATTCTCGCGGGTATGGCACGTACATCTGGAGGACCACTTGCAGCAGCCGTCAGTAATGCAGGTGGTTTAGGATGTATAGGTGGATTAGGATATACACCACAGCAGTACATCCCCATCCATACCCACAACCCCATAAACCACCCATCTAATACCCACCCCAGACTCCGCGAAATAATCCACGATCTCAAATCCAACCTCTCGGACCCTTCCCTCCCCTTCGGCGTCGATCTAGCTCTCCCAAAAGTAGGCGAAGGCGCTCGCGCCACCAATCACGATTACACGCATGGCCAACTCGACTCTTTAATCGATGTAACTATCGAAGAAGGCGCGCGTCTCTTCATATCCGCCGTAGGGGTTCCGCCTGCGCATATTATCAAACGTCTACACGATGCTGGGATCTTAGTCATGAATATGATTGGGGCTCCTAAACATGCCGTGAAGGCACTAGATGCAGGTGTGGATATTGTGTGTGCGCAAGGAGGTGAAGGCGGTGGTCATACGGGCGATATACCGAATTCGATTTTGATACCGGCGGTGGTGGATGTGGCGAGGAAATATAAACCGGTGATGTTGAAAGGAGGGGATGCGCTGGTTGTGGCGGCGGGAGGTATTTATAATGGGAGGGGTTTGGCGAGTAGTTTGATGCAGGGGGCGAGCGGGGTGTGGGTGGGTACGAGATTTGTGGCGAGTGAGGAGGCGGGGTGTAGTAGGGTGCATAAGGAAGAGGTTGTGAGTGCGAGATTTGAGGATACGTTGAGGACGTTGGTTGTGTCTGGGAGGCCATTGAGAGTAAAGATGAATGACGTGAGTCCCCTCCCCGGCTCCTTTTTCCGTAAAAGTTTCGGATCTCAGATCTCCGCCATATTACCCCCTTTACTTACTCCCTTTACTAACAAACCACCAACACTACTAGTACATACAATCCTGGGAATCGCAACCAGCCAAAATCCAAGAACTCACTCAGAAAGGCATCACACCACTAGAATACGATATGGAGCAGGGAAAAGAAGTGGATATACCACATTTGATGGGTGTGGTAGCAGGTGTTATAGATGATATTAAACCGGCGGGGGTTATTGTTGATGAGATGGTTGGGGAAGCGGTGGGAATGTTGAGGATGGCGGATGGGTTTTTGGGGGGTGGGGGGAAAAGCAAATTGTGAATGGGGGCTTGGGAAATGAAAAGGGGTGAGTTGAGTTGTGTTGTGAGAGTGAGTGAGTGTGTGTGTGTGTGTGTGTGTGTGTGTGTGTGTGTGAGAGAGAGAGAGAGAGAGAGAGAGAGAGAGTATACTCGATATATTGACATTAGACGGTTAGAGACAGAGATAGGTGGTAATTCCATCTATCTATCCATCCATCCATCCATCTACTATTCGCATACCGGTATATATAATACCCCATCCACATCTCATCCATCTTCGTCATAGCATCTTTTCTCTTTCCTATCGGTATATAATATGATATCATATAATCTTATATATATATCGTTGATTTACGTGTATTAAGTTGTTATTAAGTTAAAAATATTTTTTATTATACATCTATATATCCATTCATCTAATAGTATATCCATTCATCCAACAATACATCCATTCATTCACTCCAAGTATATATACATATTACATATTACAACCACATCCACAACCATAACCAAGGTATTGAGTTAAGTTGAGTTGAGTTGAGGTGAGGTGAGTTGAATAAGAATAGGAAGAATATCTTATTTACATTGCATTGTATTGTATTGTATTGCATTGCATTGTATTGCATCACACAAGATATTTATCTATCTAGCAATAGCATAGCATGCTATCTTTTCCTTCCTATCATATCCACTCCACTTCAATCCAATCCAATCCAATCCCCTTCACTTCAATCCATCTCCAACCCATCTCCAATCCATTCCATTCCATCAATCTAAGAAAAAAAAAGTTTGTCCAAAAGAAAATAGAAAAGAAAAGAGAAGGAAAAAAATGGTAAAATAAGGGGCTCGACTGGCGAGAATGAAGTATATGTTTGTGTTTGTGCTTGTGTGTTTTTCCTTTCTTTCATGAATGATCTGTCCAAATGAAATGAAATGAAATGGAATGTTCCACTGCATACCATGTCCAATCCACCACTGCATTGCATTACAGCCTCACACTTCAAAAGAAGGAAGTCTGCCTGAATAGAACATACCAAGAAACCCAGAAACCTAGAAAACCAGAAATAATCCAGTCTAATGTCTCTTAGCATGTTTATGCAAATGTCTCGACACCCTCTTCTCCTCCTTCCCACTCTTACTCTCCTTCCCCTCCCCCTTAACATAAACACTCAACGCCAACCCACCCCCACAAGTCTCCCCCTCATCCCCATCACAAGCCATCGCACACAAACTCTTATCCAACACCTTACTCGGCACACTATCACCACAGAAACACTGACCTCCATATTCTGTACCCGCCACACTATATCCCTGTGTCGAACAATAGGATACGCAAGCAGTGTTTGATACGGCGCCTAGGCCGATATTGGCAAATTTGATGCCGGAGAGCGCGCGAGTGGGTTCTTGGTCGGCGTAGCAGCCGGCGTAGGTGTAGCCGGAGATGGCGGCTGCACTGGTGCTGGTGGTTGGGGTCTTGGAGCCTGTGGCGGATGCGGATGGTTGGTCTGCGGTTACGGAGACGGTTTTGTAGATTAGGGTTGAGGCGTGTACGGTGACGATTGTTGTGATTACTTGGCCGCCAGATGTGATGACGCTGGAGGATATGACGTCGTTGTCATCGCCTGATGCTGCTACGGCGGCGGCGTGGGTGACAGCTGCGGCTACGCTTTCGGTGTTGGATTGGAGATACTTGTTGGAGGCTGAGGTAGCTGATGATTGGTGGGTGGAGGTAGCGACGCTGGATGTAGAGTCACTAGGGAGGGATATTGATGCTGCAGATGTAGCGATCGATAACGCAGATGAGACGATGTTGGACACCGATGCGGTAACCGATGCAGTGGCTGATTTGACAGCTGAAGAGATAATCGAAGAGACAGCTGAAGTAGCATTTCCAACAACTGAGGAAGCTACACTAGCAGCCCCGGAAGATTTTCCACCCCATTGTCCCATAGGGTTGTTACCCGGTAATTTTGACATGGATCCGGTGACAACTTCGTCGATTGGTGATGGAATGGTGCATGATGAAGATGCATCATTCAAACCACCGATGAGACCTGGACATTTGTCCATTCCGGAATCACCTGCATTGCAGTTATCGATGATTTGTTGAAGAGTCTCAACATCCCAACCTGAGATCTGTATGATGTTAGTACATTGAAAGCGTGTCTCGAGCGAAAACTGTGACTTACGAAATCAGCGTGGAGGCTGTAACCAGTGGGATCTCCGTTGGAAAGAACGAAAGGTTGCTTTCCTTGTCCTGGTGTCCATTGACTTGCAAATGCTAGGGTATCGTAGTAAACCTCATAGAAGATGTGAGGAGTATGAACCCAACCTTTTGGACAATTGCCTTTTGTAGGCCAATCCATGTTGGTTTTGTAGTCGGACAATCCAGCGGCCGGATTGTAGCATGAGGGAAAGTGGACATCAAGACGCATGGGTGCAGCGAATGCATCACAATTTATATCCGGGAATCCAGCACCTGCTCCTTTGTTCTGTGGGTCTTGAATTCCTACACCATGCAATCCGTCTGAGTCGGCGGGGTATGATGGGGTGTCATAATTGGTGCGAGGACAGGTGACTTGAATTGGTTGGGGAGTTCCGGCTGAGTAGTCAACGACGGATCCTCCACCACCAGCTGGAGGAGATCGAAGGGTTGGGTCACCAATCACCATTCGATGACCTGGTTTAAAAGCAGTGATCTTATCGGTGGTAGGTTCAAAGCTTATGACGTATTAGTACATCTTCTTTTGAGATGAATGAGATATTCGCCACTTACAAATAATAGACATTCATGTAGAACATAGGTACGGCTGTGATATTGGAAGGGTCATTTGGGTCCACGAAATACAACGAGGGGGTCCAATAATTGCTCTTGTCATTCTTGACAAGTGATGAAGTGCAGTTGGATTGATCCAAGGCCGTCATATCTCCCATACTCATGGCAAAAGCACTTCCTCCTTGAATCGCATGAACGTGTCCAGATACTTCTCCTGGGCTGATGATTGGATCCAAACGAGCCGTAAGAAGAGGAGCTGTTCCATAGAAATGGTTAACTGCGAATGTTCTTTCAGTTGCAGAGTATGCTGCTGCTGATGCAGCGAATGTGCCCATGAGGGCCAACTTTGAGAAAACCATAATGGTGAAATGAGTTTCAGATAGAAGAGTTTGGTTGTTGAATATGTAATTCGAAATGTATGTAAGTCTGATGGTGCTGATATTTTCAATGAAGTTGCTGAGAAAGCAAAAGGATTGTGGAGAAGTGATCGAAAACACACAAGAGTTACTGGCCTCAATTGGTGTTTGATAGAATGGAAGAATCTGTATCAACAGAGTAGAAAATGAAGGAATGAATGGCACGCAGAGAACGAACGAAGGAGTGTGATGTACAATAGTACAGAGGTGTGTGTTGGAAAGAATTTCAAAAAAAGAATCAAAGATATGAAGGAGAGGAACGGAATCTTATATGACTAGAGTTATGGCCCATAGTTTCTTACAAAGATGCAGTGAATTTTGATACCCACATCAGCCCAGGATATCATACTAGTACATGCACGTAAGGAAGATGAGAAAAGAGTCAGCCCAGAAGCGGGATGCAGGAGAAAACTTACTGGCGTGACATGGATCTTGATCTCCCTTTGTGTTACAATTCGCTGACTTGTGGAATTAAAAGTATCCCCGACAGGAGAGATTACTATTACAGTAGTACACTGTACAGCCCACAAGTGAATGAAAAGTCTGGTAAAGAAACATGGAAAGTAATGAGGGTGAAATGAGGAGATCCGTACGGAAATGTGCTTAATATCATTTTTGGCCGTAAAAATAGTGAATCGGGACACAACATATTGTAGGGTTAGGGGTTGTAGGAAATTGTTGTAATCAAGTAAGGTTATTGGTTCGATAGAACTTGACTTGGTATCTTGTTTCGTCCTAACTTCTAAGAATCTGGTACCTGACATGAATATCCGGGTCAAACTCCCGATTACCAAGGGATGATTTGGTTTAGCGGATAAGAAGAGGCGAACGGAAAAAGGTCTGGTTTTTTTAGGGGTAATCCTTTTTCAAATACCCTTACCCCAGTCTTTCTCATATCTCATTGACTCAAGGCGTTAAACTGGAGCAACTATTCGTGGACCAATTCTTACTAACTCGGCCATTTGGCATCTAGCTGACTGTTTCGAAACGTTGAACCTAGTCAAGTAAGTGAGAAAAGTCTAGATTACCGGCAAGTTGCAACTCACTGCCAGTCTACCAGCCATACAAACCCAGCAAATTCTCCCTTCTCACCAATCAATCAGCACAAGGTTATGGATCATTCCATTTCTTTCCGAGCTTTTTCCCCTGATGGCGTTGTTTTTTTTTAATTTTAGCCTTATGATTTTCAAGTGGATTGGATGAAATGATCTGCAATTAAGCTTAAGAGTTTCAAAATATGTACTATCCCATATCAATCTTATCGCACGATATTACCGGTGCCCCAATATATATCGGGGGAGGTGGAGTCTTTGATATAATATAATCTGGATATATTATCTATGTTTTTCGTTGAGAGACATTTTTCTATGAGAGACCAGAAAACCATGGTAATGGTAATCAAATTTTATATTATTTGTTACTCTTTATATATCGGTATTCCTGGAATCGTATTCGGCTTTTCGGCCTCTCTAAAATCATCTTGGGGGTAAGAAGTTAAGAACAAGGCCCGCATATCTATACAATTAATCAATCATTAATTCAGATGAACTGGCCATGGGACACTGGCATTAGGCCCTGCTTTTGAGAACAAGTATTAGATTTAAAAGTTGGTATATAAGATTACTAGTATGTATATACTGAAGACAGAGGCAATTTATTGAAACATTACTCTGCAATTCGTTCCCCTGAATAATCCTATAAATAAGCTTCAATCCTTTCAACGTGACATTAGGAATATACGATAAAGGTTGTGATGGCGTCCTTCCGTCCTCTTACAGACAAGCCTTGAGGGAGGGAAGGGAAGGGATTAACTTTATCGTTCCGACTTCCTGGCTGGGTTATGGGCCGGATGATCGAAAGGAGCTTCTTGATCCTTTTGATTTTGAAGGTTACAGTACAGTATGATTCAAAAGAATGTGGCTGGTGTCTATATATTTGGAATCTTTACTTGAGTATATAAGGAATCACTGGGATATCAAAGATTATACTGTAAAGAATGTTTAATAACACCGCATTTTCCATATAGGATAGGACCACCTTCAGTCAACGATACGATACGTAGGATATACAGAATAAATTAATGATATATAACCTTAGTGATGTTGTTGCGCTTCGATCCGACCGTAACTGTATCGTCAAACAAAAAGGGTCGTGAAGCGTTACGATAATCGGCGGCAAGAACCCACTCTGATATTAACCCCTCATTCCAACGTGTATAGATTGACGGGGCGGTAAGAATACTAAGAATACTCTTCTATCCGTTGCTTCTCGGTTGATCGTCTGAATTCGATTTCTATGGTCCAATAAGAAATGGTTCAATGATAATATAACATCAGTGTCAATAACTCAGCGTTGCAGAAGAATTAAAATCCCCAAATGGACAACTGTACCTTCCCTCTATTAGTTTGTTTTAAATCATTGTCCTAAATCATTTCCCTGCAATAATGGTGATGCGATGCGAGTGCCGTTGTACATACATACATCGCCTAACACCTAACACACACACGCACGTGTCTGAAGGAAAAGAGCGAATATTACCGCAAGGGCAGCTTCACTTCTTGTTCAACAGGAAGTAAGTTGTTGTAGGTAATTCGGAGAAAGAGAAGATAAGATAACTACTGTAATTAATTCATGGGGTGATCGACGAATAAATGACTCAGACCTTTTCTTTTGTACTCGTAAGGCTTTACTCCATAATAATGAACCCTCTGTTAGAAAAAGAAAAAAACCTTCGAATTCATGCAGCTAACTGAGTGCGCTGACTCTAGACCCTTTCTCATACTGTGAATCTGTGATATCCAAGGATATAAAATCTTGACAAGCCAACAAAATCAAAATGAAACATGCAGACCATCAAATAGCATCAATGCTGTGTTACCCCGATCGAATTTCCACGGGTAAGTAACACAAAATCACGGCTGCCAACTCAAGCTCATCTCATCTCATCTCCTCCAGCGTGGTTTTAGTTTCGTGGTAAGAATTCTGTAAAGAACTTCCCGTTTCCCGCGCTCTAATCGAAACATGACCGGAAGTATTGAGGTCCAATTATGATATTTTATGTGTAATGTAAAGCAAAGAGCCTAGACAAAGTGCATGTAACAATGGTACATGAGCATTGAGCATACCAAATCACTGGAATTTAGTGGTATAGGCTCGTATCTAATGAAAGTACTTGCTGCAGCCTGCAGGAGGAGAGTTTGTAGGCTTTTTAGTGGTTGGAGGGGTTGGAAGGGTTGGAAGGGTTGACTCCGAAGATAATAATCAAGTTATCGTATCTGGTCGATATGATATGAAATACATACTGTAAAGTCGCGTCAACATTAACAAGTGCAGTAACAAGTGCATTTGATCAAAATAATGCTGCCAAGCTGAAAAATGGCCCTTCAGAAATGATAGATGCACCGACACGGGGATAAAAGGGCTGAATGACAATGCCTAGAACGGTAGTAGAACCGGAACCACTGAAGCAATAAGGTTAAGCGATAAGGGTTTAAAATTTATTCTCCTTACTGCCCTGCCCCTCCATCACAGCTTCACCGGTTCACAACCCCTCCATCTCAAACCCAAACCCAAACCTAATCTCAATCACCACCACCACATCACCACCACCACTGTACTATTTCACGAATCCTGCCATTCCTACTCAAATACAACATTTAGATTTCTTCTTCCTCACCATGTCACCCATCCCCATAACAATCCTCACCGGCTTTCTCGGTTCTGGAAAAACCACCCTAATTCTAAATCTTCTTCCCCAACTCCACGCCCTTAACCCCTCTTACCGACTCGCTCTCCTCAAAAATGAATTTGGTGACCTAGCTGTCGATTCTCAGCTCGCGTCTTCTTCTTCCATAACTTCGGTGCGAGAGATGCTTAATGGGTGTATATGTTGTAACCTCGTTGGTTCTCTATCCTCCGCGCTTCAAGAACTGCAGGACAGTTTACCGGTCAAGGTTAACGAGTCAACGGGAAAGGAAGAGAAGGGGAGTTTGGATAGAATTATAATTGAGACGTCTGGGTCGGCATTCCCTGCTACGTTGGCGATGGAGGTTAATAGGATAGCGAGGGAGACAAAGGGGGCTTATGTGTTGGATGGTGTGATTTCGGTGATTGATGTGGAGAATTGGAAGGGCTATGAAGATACGAGTTTTACGGCGAGGTTACAGGCGAAATATACGGATCTGGTTGTTTTTAATAAGTGGGAGGGGGTCAGTGAGAGGAGGTTTGATGACTGTTTGGATAGGTTGGGGGATTTGGAAGTCCAGGTTGCTTGGGTTAAGAGTGATAAGGGAAAGGTCGGGGTAGATGTTGTGTGCGGAGTTGATGGGGGTCTGGCTAGGGTATTGATGGATGATGTTAATGGGAATGGGAATGGGCATAATCATAATCACAAGAATGGTGAAGACAAACACGAACACTCCCACGACCATCAATCCGAAGTCGAAGTCCTCTCCATAACCCTCAGATCTACCTCCCCCTCCTCAACCATCTCCCTCGCACCACTCACCAAACTCCTCATCAAAGCACCCAAAGACGAAGTATACCGCATCAAAGCAATTTTAACCTCAAGCACTCCCATCCCACCATCCGATTCAACACTCTCACCTCCTGAATCCTCGACATCGGCATCGGTATCGACATCAACTTCTACTTCCACTTCCACCACTGACTTGGTTCCAAAATCTGCAAAATATATACTCAATTGGGCATTTGGTCGCTGGACTAGCACAAAAATGGAAGATCAGCAGTTGGAAAAGGAACATGAAAGTAGTCAGGGAGAAGGAGTGGTACTAAGAATGACGATTGTAACGGCGAGGGATGAGAGTAATAAGTGGAAGAAGAGGATAGAAGGTGGTGGATGGGTGGAAATTGAGGGTGAGGGTGAGGGTGAGAAGGGAGAGTTGAAGGTTGTGAGGATTTTGTAATGGGTTGGAGAGATGTGATGTGGTTGAATAGAGAGAGATACGGATGATATGGAATTTGAATAGAGAGAGGGTGTGGATGATTGGGATATATGATATGATATGATGCTTAGATTAGATTAGAGTAGATATCATGGTTTTGTTATAGAGATAGAGATGGAGATAGAGATAGAAGATTTTTCTTGTATATACACGTACATATACATATACATATAGATAGATAGAAAAAAGCAAGACATGAATAATCAAATGAGTCTGTCGAGACGGTTATGAAACCTAGTAACAATCAGTTGAGCCAAGTACTGTACAAGTATATTTTTGGTTTGGTACTGCAAGTGCATGGGAATTCCAAATTTCTGATTCCAAATCTAAATCGAATCCAATTTCAAATCGAATAACATTTCTATATTGGAATACGAGTAGATAAGACTCTGTAATTCTGTAATTCTGTGAAGCGAGGGCACTATAGTAGTTCTGAGTATATTAATTAAGCTAGGAGAGGAGAGGTGAGGTGAGTCATCAGTAAGTAAGTGTTTCTATATAAGATTTACTTTCTGCTGTTGTTATTTTTTTTGGTTGTTTTTTGATATACCGATACCGATACAAGTGGTTTCTTTTTGTATTTCTGTATTTCTGCTAGGTACGGTAGGTACGGGGGGAGATAGGAAGATAGGAAGATTTATTTATTCATTTGTTTGGAGTATGAGTATGACTATGAGTTTTCTGGTTGGGTTTATGGAGATGGAAATGGGGGTGGAAATCGGGGTGTTGGTGTTGTTGTTGGTGTTGAGCGGGTTAGTCTTGTCTTGTTGGTATAGTATAATGCTTGGTGTAGACTTGTAGTGTAGTGGGCGCCTTTGGCTTGAGTTGCCTATTGTACTTGTATTATTGCTGATTCTGAATCTGATTCTGTTGGTGTTGGGATTAGTCTAATTGATTAAAAAAGCTTAGCTTTTCGTTCCATGAAGGCACAAAGTTATATAGTTGTCTAGCATCGTAACTTCATATGGCTTTCACTTTGCTCGGTTCTTCTTTGCATGTCGGGTTTCGTAACCTTGTTGATTGTTCTACGTTTCGTGCACTACTTTATACCTATCTACTCTGTACACACAGCGCTGTTTTTTGTAAAGAAAAAGAAAAAGAAATTAGAAATCTCGGGGCAATTTCTTCGAGTTGTGTGGTTTTGCACGGTAGATATATGCTATTTTCACTTTTACTGGGTTCTTATGAGTATATGGCTGTATCTTTTCAATATATCTATTCTTGTTTCGTCCAATTACACGGTCGATGAAGTTCTGTAGATTGCTGAGATTTCTCGTCTTTAGCCTTTCTTTTAATTCCTGGTCCTGTAAATTCTACGATAATTTCACATTGTGCTTGAAGAAATGAAAGATCTTTGAGTAGAGTTTGTGATTGGTCCGCTAGAGATTATAGTACTACTAATCTACTACCCATTACTGATGTACATGAGACTTGAAAAGAAAGAAATGATTGAATTACTTTTATAAAATCTCTAGTTGCTTTCATTATCTCATTTATAACATCATGATTCATGAAGAAGTATAGTAGCTCTTCCCGATTCAGCAGCTTCTTCTATGTACTATACAGACGGTCAGAGTTTATTTCTCCCAATATCGCTATATACTGATCCACAATATCTGCCGCTTACTAGACTATTGTTGCAAGGTTTTGATTACTTCGTATTCATGTCAACATCGTTCTGGACGTTCATGATATGATGGCTTGCGTAAATGTATTGATATTTGGGGTATTTGGAAGTTAGAACTTGGTAATAAGAATGCTCATAGCTGATCAACGGCATAGTACAGGCTAGTCAACTGTTTTAATGAAGATGGGTCAAATACTTTCCCGAGGTAATTTCTGGGGTAGATAGCGTGCTCGTAGGTAGGTATCGTTGGACTATGCTGTCACTTGAGGTTGAGAAACACATACCCATATGATATGTGACATATGATCACACGGTAGTTAGTTTGTGCCACGCAAAGGAAAAAGGATTTCTACATCCTCTTCTCTTCTCTCCATAAATAACGAAATCACTATCGTTGCACCTCCCTTACATTTCATCATTTCATTGCTATTCTCACATAGTGCACCATTCGAAATGAAGCAAAATAAAGGCAGTGAGATATACTGGTATATGACCTTAAGACGCAACAATTATCTTGCTGATCGAAGCATATATTCAAAAACATACTTACCTACATCTTAAAAATACATTATACCAGTACATATGTTTGGGGTTATATAAAAGCTTATCAGCCTACTAGCTTGCTAGTTACTTCTGTCATCGCAACTCATGAGGTTTTGTACAACCAAAGAAGGGGTCAAGCGAACGCGGCTATTTATCTGTCGGATGGATCCCGCGCGACATATCCCTATACCATATATTTGGATCATACCATCTATTTGGATTGTGATCCAAGACTGTTTGAATAAATCAAGTCAAAACTTCTTATTAGCGGTGACTCGGAGGAGAGGAGGCAAAGAAGGGGATGGATTCATTTATTCCCCTCTATTTTTTCCTATCAGATCTGTTTCTATTGATATTATTATATGATACATTCTCTGCCAATCCTCCACAAAATAATTACTGACTTACCACACCTGATCTTCAAGGAGGGTTTCTCATATGAGTATATCGGAAATTTGGACTAGCATAATATTCTCTGGAATCTCTTTTTCTTTTGAAATTTGAAATTTGAAATTTGAAATTTGAAATTTGAAATTTGAAATTTGTAATTTGAAATCTAGAGACTCTGGAGATATGATAGTTTATTTCCCATTCCCATTTCTAGGAGTGTTTTGAACTTTTCAACTTTTGATACACGCAATTTGGGGTTTAAAAGTGTACAGTTCCAGTATCCTTCAAAGTAGATAGATTAGATGGATTGAGAAACGAATAAAAATCTTCATTATTATTATTATTATTATTGTCTACTCGTATGTAAAATAAGTTACCAAAATAGCACCAGAAAAGAAACTCGAAATTAAATCAAAGTTCAAAACAAGCTAATACAAGTAGATTAGGATCAATACCGTGAACATCATCTCGTCTGCCTATTTAATAAGGAGGCAGGCAGGCAAAGGCTTCATACAAACTCAGTATAATAGCATAGTATGCTCGACAGCATCGGTCATAAGTAAACAGCGACGTTCAACTAATAATATAAACCATAATCGTATCGTACTCGCATTATCCTTCACAACATCCCACATCTCACAAATTATATTATTCAATCCCTCCACCAGTACATCGGGTAGACGGGTAGACGGCCCTTATTAGCCTACTCATTTCTTTGTACTTCTCTTTTCCAGTTGTTCAAATTACTACGAGTACAGTAGGTCCAATAATACCCGCATCCGCATCCACATTCCCTCCATCAGTCAACGATTCAATAAATGAAACACAACCCATCCAATCCGCCTCTCTCATCTCACCCATCTTAACCCCAAACTCCTTACAAATTACTCATATTCTTTATTGTATCATGTATCATGCATCATGCATCATGCATCATGCATCATGCATCACCTACCAACTTATCATATCATACCAATACTCAAATGCCATCAGATAGCGTTCTACTTCTCCCAGCCTCTCCCTCCCCGCCTTACAGGAAAAGAAAGGCCCGCTAGCACTTGCCATTAGGAGCAGGAGAGAAGTAGTCAATCTAATTCAGAAAAGAAGTAGAGAGAAATATAAAAAATCATCATTAGAAATAGAAAGGTATATCAGAAATCCCGTCCAAAAGAACGAAAAACACTCAAATATGTTTTTTATTTTTGTTTTTTATTTATCCTCCCGATATAGTAAATAATGTTGCAATTATTCAGAGTTTTTCTAGTATACGTTCATATAATTGAAATTGTCATATCACCTTTTGTTTTTTCTTATTTATTCATTCAATCGAAATACAGTAATATAAATTGGATATTTAAATCATGATACTTTATCAAAAATGATATTTCCCTCCTCTCTTTTCCCTATCTCAAGGCTAGAAGGGATCTCCAGGATTGGTGTTGTAGGGTGTGGTGTTGTATAGTTTTATCGGGTCCGTATCTGGTAGTAGATGTAGAAATAGAGAATAGAATGTTGAGCTGAGCTGTTTCCTAGAGCACTATAGGTAGTTTTGAAAAGAACTCTACAGGCACTTTCATATGAGGAAATCGGCCATTCTTTGCAAACATCCCTTTAAATATGTATATTGAGATTTGAACCTAAAAAGCCCTCCAATATTAATAGCTAGCCCCTCCTGACCTCTCCTCTCTTCTATTACCTTACAGTATTATAAATTGTATACCTTATAAGTTGAACTTCATTATCGCTAACCCTTAATCGCTTAAAACTATTCTAACTTACTGAATATTGAAACATTGAAATCATTCTAACTAACTTCAAGTTACTGAATATTGAAATATTGAACACAAAAATATTCAAATTAACTTGAAATTTTTTTTGGTAAAGGAATATAATATGATTTGAATAGAATACTCGATAAATCCAAATATAAATATAAATTTCTTTTGAAATCACTGATTTAGAATTAAAAAAAAATAAAGCTATATCTAATTACTCTAGATATATACTAATACTATGATCTCAAATCTCAATACATCAACACATCTCAGTACAATTCATAACATAATTTAGTGGGGGAATCACTCTATTTGAGGTGTCTGTAGGTATAATTAGGGGAAGGAGGCAACGCTAACGTACTCTATCAATTTCTGACCCAACGATCTCAAGCTTTTCGATTTTGATACTGATTTCTCTCCCAATTGCTTCAGCTCCGGTCATATAATAGAACCAACCATTCCCACCTTACATACATACATCTTCACCTCCACCATACATAGAAATCAAATCTATCCGAAATCCTCTCGTATCATATCCATATCCATCCATACCCATCTATACCCATCCATATCCATCCATCTCCCATCTCCCATCTCCCATCTCCCATCTCCCATATCAGGAGTTC